CTCTGCCTCTGGAACAGAGGACGTGACGGGGGGATTGAGGAGAACCTCAAAGTATTCCTTCCACCGCCCGACAATATCCCCAGTCGAGGTCAGCAGCTCTCCACCGGCATCGTACATGGTGTTGGCAAAGAACTGCTTCCCCCTCCTGAGGCGCCGGATGGTTTGCCAGAATCTCTTCGAGGCCGACCGATAGTCATGCTCCATGGACTCTCCGAACTCCTCCCAGTCCCGGGTTTTTGCCTCTGCAAAAACTGGTGCCACCAGTGCACTGGTGCCACGTGCACTGGTGGACACCCTTGTGCTCGAACATGGTGTTTGTGATGGACAAACTGTGACTGGCACAGAAGTCCAACAACTGAACACCGCTCGGGTTCAGATCACGGGGGCCGTTCTTCCCGATCACCCCTCTCCAAGTGTCACTGGCGTTTCCCACATGGGCGTTGAAGTCCCCCAGGAGAATAACGGAGTCCCCGGGCGGTGCACCGTCCAGTACCCCTCCCAAGGACTCCAAGAAGGCCGGGTACTCTGCACTGCTGTTAGGCCCGTAGGCCGTCACAACAATGAGAGACTTGTCCCCCACCCGGAGGCGGAGGGACGCGACCCTCTCATTCACCGGGGAGAACTCCAACACGTGGCGGCAATGAGAATGGCCACCCCAGCTCGCCGCCTCTCCCCGCGGGAAACTCCAGAAAAGTGGAGCGTCCAACCCTTCTCAAGGAGTTGGGTTCCAGAGCCCAAGCTGTGTGTGGAGGTGAGGCCGACTATCTCTAGTCGGTATCGTTCAACCTCCCCCACGAGCTCGGGCTCCTTCCCCCCCAGTGAGGTGACGTTCCACGTCCCAAGAGCCAGATGTTGTGTGTGCGGACTGGGTCGCCGAGGTCTCCGCCTTCGACTGCCGCCCAGTCCTCTCAGCACCGCGCCACCACGGACCCCTCTGCAGGTGGTGGGCCCACAGGAGGGACTGCCCCGTGGGCTAAGGCCCGGCCACCAGGCGCTCGCATACGAGCCCCGACCCCAGGCGCCATGCCGGGCGACGTCACTGTTGTCATATTTGTGCTGTCCATGGCGTCTTCTGAACTGCTCTTTGTCTGACTCGTCACCTGAGACCTGTCTGCCATGGGAGGCCCTACCAGGGGCATGAAGCCCCAGACAGCATAGCTCCCAGGATCATCAGAGTACTCAAACTCCCCCACCACCTTAAGGTGGCAGTCCAGTCCAGGCATTTGACGCATTAATACGTCAAATGCCTTTTTCGCTATTTTCACGTTCCCAGATGTCTATTGTATCTAATATGTATGGGGATGACTTGAGACCATATTTTATCGAGCCAGCAGGTGGCAGCATTTCTC